CAGTCCATCTTTGACCCTGGTGAATCTTGGTGTTCACTTATGGGGTTTATTAATATACATCAGACTTTAAGTCCACCACCCATTTGTCAGCTTGTCATACTGTGGTGGCTTGTGTGTTATTGTGATACTGGAGGCTATGCCACTGGTATTTCAAATACCAGCACAGTCACCTATAATGGAACGGTTTCAGTGGAACTTCCAGACTAAGACAGACTAGAAAAACGGCCTGGTGACCTACTTCTCAAAATTAACTAATGAAACCCTATGAATGACCACAGAATATTGTTCAAGTCACTAGCTGTGGGCATGTTATCAGGAAGGATTAATTGCTAGAAGAGGACATCATGTTTGATGAAGTGTGGAGGGCCAACAAAGGTAAGGAAGAACTTTGATTAGATGGATTGGCACAGTAACCTTGACAGTGGACTCAGACACAGGACCAGACAACATTTTGTTCTGTTGTACATGAAGTGGGCATGAGTCAGTGTTGACCTGACACTAGGCGTCTATCTCTTTTTCCTGTTTCTTCTTTTTTCATATATTATATTTTATTGTGTTTTCTGTAAAAGTTTACACAGCAAATTAGATTCCTATCTGACAACTTCTACACAGGTTGTTCAGTGACATTATTTACATTTTTCACAATGTGTCAATATTCTCATTCATTGCATTCTGGTTGTTCTGTTTCCAATACTCTAGTTTCCCTGTCTCCTTATTTGTTTATCTTTGCTTTAGAGTAATTGTTGATCTTTTGGTCTCATATGGATGATTTTTTTTTAATGCACTGGACTGCAAAGTTAGTTTGATCTGCAAGGTCAATGGTTCAAGCTCACTAGCAGCTCCTCAGAAACCCTATTCAGGGTTGCTATGAGTTGGAACTGACTCGACTGCACTTAACAACAACAACAACAATGATCTTTTATTTTGCTATAAGGTGATCTTGAGATTGTTTTGGTTCAAGGCTCAAAGAGTATCACAGGGTGACAGTCTCAGAGAATCTTCTAGTCTGAACTGGCTGTAAGCCTGGGTTTTTAAGAATTTGAGCTCTGTTCCATGTTTTTCTCCCATTCTATCCAGGTCCATCTATTATTGCCCTGATCAGAACAGTTGGTAGTGGTAGCTGGGCACGACCCAAATTCTCTGGTCTCACAGTAGATGAGGTTATGGCTGATGTAGTTTATTAGCTCTGTGGACAGGTTTCTTCTCCGAAACTTTGGTTTCCTTCTTTCTCTTTTGTTTCTAATGAGTAGAGACCAATAACTGTATCCTAGATGACTAGTTGCAAGCTTTTAAGACCCCGGATACTATTCACCTCACTAGGATGCTGAATTGGAGCTTTGTGTACCAATTGACTAAGTTGTTCTATGAGACTAAGGACTTAGCCTTCAAACACAGAAAACCATTCTCCTAAAGTATTTGGGTACATCTAAGAAGTATCAGTAACTGTATGTTCTATGAATATACATGCATGCACACACATACTTACACATAAATGCACATATAGATAATTCTATCTGTATATACCTGTATACTTACCTGTACCTACATGTACAGAGACACACACATGTACATCTACATATGTGAGCAGACACCATGTTTTGGTTAATGTTGGTGTGGTTGTTAAATTATATATGTCAGATTCTTCAGCACAAGCATACTTTTCTCTTATGCATTTCTTAGTGGCATTGTTTAGTTTGATCAGTGGTATTCTGTGCTATTTTTATACCCACATTCTGTACTATTTTTCCCATCACCAAAAATAACAAGTATCTACAATCTGGAGATTAAATCCCTACTTACCTATCCCTGGTAACCAACAGTGAACATTAGTCTCTGTATATATAAATCTATCCTTATCTTCTTATAAAAGTGGTATCATATATCCGTCCTTATATGATAGACTTATTTCACTTAGCATTTTGCCTTCCACATCCATCCATGTTACAATATGTTTTATAGACTCATGAGTGTTTTTTTTTTTAATGATAGTATACTATTCCACTGACTGTATGTACTACATTTTGCTTCTCCAGTCATCTGTTAATGTTGAAGGACACTTGGGCAATTTCCAATTTTTTGGTATTGTGAATAATACTGCAATGAGCACAGCTGTGCTTTCTATCTTAAACATTGTAGCATAACTCTTCTAGCATTATGTTAGAACTTAGTCTTTCCTTGGAAAAGACAACGCTGAACATAAATGTAATCATATTCATTGTAGGAAATTTGGAAAGTATCAAAAGTTAAAGGAAGAAGGTTAAAATCACTGCTAATTCGATTATTCTATGATGACCTATTATTAGTGAGCATGTGACTTCGTCTCTCATACTTTGGGCATATTATCAGGAGGGACCAGTCACTGGAGAAGGATATCATGTTTGGTAAAGTGGAGGGTTGGAGAAAAAGAGGAAGACCCCCAGCGAGATGGATTGGCAAAGTGGCGACAGGAATGGGCTGAGGCATACAAACAATTGTGAGGTTGGCCAGGACCGGGCAGTGTTTCATTCTGTTGTGCACAGGGTCACTGTGAGCCAGTATTGACCTGAGGCACCTAACAACAACAAAATATCGATTTCTTAGGGCTGTCATAATAAAACATCACAAACTGTGTGACTTATAAAGACAAGAGTCTAGAAGTCCACATCAGTGTGTCGGCAGCGCCACTTATCTCCCAGCTTCTTTCTTGTCTTGTAGATGTGTCTTCACATGATGGCCCCTCCTTTGTCTGTCTCTCTGTAACTCTTTTTTTGATAAGGACATACTCAGATTAAATTAGGACTCATCCGACTCCAGTATGATCTCATGTTAACTGATAACATCTTCAAAGACCTATTTCCAAACAAGGTCATGTTCATAGGTACCAGAGGTTAGGAATTTAATGTATTTTTCAGTGGACAAAATTCAATTTGCTAGTAAATTTTCTTCCAGGTTTTTTTTTATGTCATACACAGACACGCATACAAACATACACACACATGTGCATTAAATGTATACAGGCAGTCTGTGGATTCTGAATGAGTTTCCTTTCTAAACTTGTCTTTAGGTGGAATTCATACAGAAATCGGAACAATTAAATATGATTTGTATCTAATGTCGGTCAATGTCTGTCTCAGTATGTAGTATACAGTGTACGTTTCTATGAATAAAAAAAAAAAAATGAAAGAAACACTTCCAGATACAATACAACATGGTAACACAGTAATAATAACAACACTTCAATGCGTATAGAAAATCAGCACCTGTTTGGTAATATGAATCACTGTATTCTAAATTTTAAATATTATAGGCTTTATGGGGGTTGGTTTGTAATTCCAGCTGTACATAAGAATAGGTCAGACATTTTGAATCTGGGGACTGCTTGCATTTTATTTTTTTGGCACTAGGAAATATGCCTTTATATACCTATTTCAGATGGAGGTATTACTTATTGAAGGCATACATATTTAGCTTTTACTTCCTTTTTAATTGAACAGTAGAATATGAGCTATTTTATTTTTGTTTTCAAGTATAGCTCATAATCTGACATGTAACTTGTTACATTGCTTGTTTTCAACTTCATTTCAGATGTCTCTATTTCTGAAAGGATTTAACTAAGAGATAGCACCTCTCTGAGTTATTTACTGAACCAACTCCCTGATGTCATTACTTTTCTTATTTCACAAATGTAGACACTAAAATAGAGAGCAAACAACTGACTTCTCACACTGATATTATCTAGAGAACTGGGATTCAGATTCAAGTCTCCTCTCTCCCTGCCAAGTGCTCCTCCCACTGAACCAAAGCAAAACACGGTACCTGGCAGCCTGAGATGATAAGATTGATACATAAGAAAGGGAAAAAACCAGACTGCTTGCCTCGGCTGTGTTTTCTATAATTACTGTGCCAGTGGATTTCAAACTTCAGCTCTCATATGAATTATCTAAGTTTAAGATACAGATTCCCAAACCCACACTCAGAGACTCAGAGTTAATAAATCAGGGCTGGTGCTTGGGATGCAGTGTTTTAAACAAGCGTCACCAGTTGATTTTCAGGCAGGTTGTCTTTTGACCACATTCAAAGTAATACTGTAATAGACCGGAAGCTCTTGGAAAGCACAGATTGCATCTTCTTCTCGCTGTTGTTGCTAGTTGCCATCAAGTTGATTCTGTCTCACGGTAACCCCATGTGTGCAGAGTAGAACTGACCCATAGGGGTTTTAAGGTTGTAACCTTTCAGAAGTACATCACCAGGCCTATTTTCCAAGGCACTTCTGGATGGGTTTGAACAACCGCCAACTGTTCAGCTCAAAGTCGAGTGCTGAAACACTTGTATCACCTAGATACGTACTATACAGTGCTTCCATAAAGTGATTCAGAAATACTTTTTAATGATAAGGACAGTAGGTTATCTTAGCCAAGGCCACTACAGGGCACCTATATGGGAACTATTAGAAGCCCTGGGCATGGCCTGATTAATGGAGCACAGGTGAGATTTACACCACCCTCTCTTCCCTGAGGTTGGCTCAGCACCCTTGTGCCAGGTGCTATCTGCATATCTGTGTGCAATGTCCCTGACTTTAGTCACAAATTGCCATTTTGTCCCTTTTCCAACATGAGGCCTTTTAATTGAAAAAAGGGAATTGAGTACTTGAGATCTACTTGTAGCTAGTAAAATTCTACTTAGATGGGATTTGGTTCTGCTTCAGGTAATACTCCTTTCCTTCTGTTTTATGAACTATACTCCAAAACCTCAAGGTATCTCTCAGAAAAATTTCTAGAATTTGATGGAAAACCAGAGTTCAAAATAAACAAGGCTAGGGCAAGGAGACCATTCAAGCAGCAAAGGATGCATGACTGGACCAGGCCCCTCTCAGTGTTCCCCGATAAGAAGGCTGTGTCTGTGGTACTGCTCTGATGTGGGTACAGGACTGGGGAGTCCTGGGACCACTCTACAGGCTCCAGCTCTGGTTCATCTGCTAGATCTCCAGGCACCTCTCACAGCAGCCTGCAGATGATACTTACCTTCCGTTTTGATTCTCAGGGCTGTCCTGACCAGGGCAAACAAGGTGGCATTGAACATAACGGTTCCATCGCTGTTCAGAGGCATGTTCATGGAGACCAGGCGCTACAGAGGAGGGGAGGCAAAGCTGGTGATTACAGCAAACAGTTCCCAAAGGGCACACAGAACCACCAAGGTAGAACAGGGATGGGAGGTGTGTGGGGTGGGAAGCCTGGGCTACTGAAATGTATTTAGAAACACTTCTGGGGGAGCATCTCAGCTTTGCCTTACATACTCCCGCCCTCTCCAGAGTGGAGCATTTGTCCTCATTAGCCCTCTCGATTCCATGAAAAGATGTCCAACCTACTCAACCCCCCACCTGCTCAAATGTCTGCTAAGGCATATGGGGCTGCTCTCTACTGGCAACAAAGAACAGCTGCATCCCAGGCACTCGATCAGAGCTCACTTGCCAGTCAGCATTTATCAACAGCCCAGATAAGAGAAACAATAACCGCAGATTTGTCTGCATACCGAAAATATCCACTTCCTATATATGTAAATATATAAGGAACTCTGGTTGCATAGTGGTTATGAAACAGGCTGAGAACCTCAAGGTCAGCAGTTCGAAACTACCAGCTGTTCCGCGGGAGAAAGATGAGGCTTTGTGTTCCCGTAAAGATCTACAGCCTCAGAAACCCTGTACAGGATTGCTATGCGTCGGAACCGACTCCACAGCACATAACAACAACAACAACAGTATATTTAAAGGAGGAGTCCTGGTGTAGCTCTGTAGGATAAGCACTGGACCGCAAGATGGGTTTGAACTGCAAGGTTGGTGGTTCAAACTCACCAGCCACTCCTCGGAAACCAGATACAGGATCGCTATGAGTCAGAACCCAGTTGACGGCACTTAACAACAACCAAAACAAACAACATATATATTGTGGCAATACAGAATAAGCATTAGACTGTTAACTGTAAGGTCAGCGGTTCAAACCTACCAGCTGTTCCTTGGAAACTCTATATCGGGTCGTTATGAGTTGGAACCGACTCAACAGCACAACAATAATATATATTTTAAAATATAACTCTGCACCAGCATGGAGCGGATGCTAGCTGACACTAGGTAGGACTAGATTGCCCCTTCCCTCCTTTCCCACCACCCAAGTTTGCTTTGGTTTGGCAAAGTGTAATCCCATCAGCATTGGAGTCGTCATAAGTAGGGGCACCAGAAAGCTTACCAGGGCATTTCTTCTAAGACGTGGTCATGCATGGTGGCTATTACGTCATATGGTGCCCTTGGCAATCTTAGCACCCAGAAGGGTTATACTTTTCCTGAGTGACTGCACCTTTGTGAACCTCATGGACAGTGTGAACTGAACAACTCTCAAAGTCTCTCCTTCCACAGAGGCCACTGGAGAATGAAAAGCCCTTCTGTCTGACACCATGGGACGTCCTGGCTGTACTCCTCACCTTTGCTTCTCATTGTGATTTTACTTCCAATCTGTTCTCTTCCTGCCCCATCTCCTGCATACTTCCTATAATCTTGGAAGTAGGAAATCTTTTTAGAAACAAGTGTAGGTAGAAATGAGGAAAAATGAAATAGAACAGAGCACACATAGAAGGTTCTCTATACCTTCATTGTTCCATTTTCCATGAGTGGATTAGCCACAGAGCAGAATGATTTTGTGTTTCTTCCTCAACTGATCTCAACTCTTCCCAACTCTGTTTCAGCTTGTTACTACTCCCACAGGGACACAGAATGGCAAGAATGGGGGTGAGATGCGACTTCAAAGACAAGGCAGGAAGTGAAAACCCACTCTTTGGTGACTACAGGGCTCTGTGTCTGTGATTAGGGTGAGGTTAGAAAGGCTACGGTTTATTAAGGAGGTTCTCACTCTCAGGCCATGCAATGTCATAAATTAAGAGTCTACCAGAACGTAAGGCAAATGTCTTAAGTTTTCGGCATCATGAACTCACTAAGGAATCTGATTAAAAGTGAAGGATCCCTTCCAGGTAAAATTCATGTTTCAGTGATTTGGCTGCAACTTTGGGGCTCCACAAAACCCTGAAGCAGATGAATTGGCTCTCTAATGGTTCCCTGAACTCCATACATGTTTGGTAGGGAAGTTTCCCAGGGAACTTGGGCACTACCTTCCCTGTTGTCCCCAAACAGCCTGATATGGGATGACAATACTCCACTCTGAACAAGGTCCTCTATTCAGGACTGGACACGGGACTTGTTGGGAAATGAGGCGTTCACTCCTTGTTCCGTCCCAGAATGTGAGCACTCAGAACTGCTAAGAACCCAAATACAGCCTGGCTCAAGTGTCTTTTCTTTATTGCTGTTGTTAAAGTGCTGTCAAGTTGGTTGTGACTCATAGCAACCCTGCTTAGGGTTTCCAAGGAGCAGCTAGTGAGTTTGAACAGCCAACCTTGTAGTTCAAACCGACCTTGCTTTATCCCATAGTACCACACCAGGACTCCATCTTTTCTTTAGACACAAAAAACATTATCTTCATAATATGTTTTTCATTGATCTTATCTTCATATTATCCTCAAAGGAATGAAGATCTGACCAAGGTCACAAGACAAATAGGCCTCTTGCCTCCCATCTTGTCTCTCTTTCCCCCACAAACCCAGGTCTTTTCTTACTTTGCAAGCCACACGGTGAGGACAGAGTTTTCCAAAACCCAGAGGGGGCTGAATCCGCCGGAGGAGGGTCACCACATCTAGGTGTTTGATCCGACCCCTAGAAGAGGAGAGACAGGAGGACGAAGTGGTCAGAGGGCCAGGTCTCTGCCTGCAGTCCAGGATCCATGCAACAGAGGTGAGGTCCACCTACAGGGGAAACTCTCTAGAGCTGTAGCCTGCTAGGTACACATGATGCAGACTTGCAAACTGTATCACGCAATGCCAAAATAAAGACGCACATGTTGGGATTTTAATGAGCAATTTTCTATCAGTGCTATGTTCAAGGTAAAAAGTAGTGTATTGAGATACTTAACATGCACTTCTGCGTCAACCAGCCATCAGCCAATCAAGAGGTATGTACTGGGTGTCAACCAAATGTGATTGATGGTGGAGGGTCTCTTTGTATTAGAGGTAAGAACAGAGTTTAACTTGGGCACTCACTAGTTATGCCTGACATTAAGCCCTCCTATCCCCTGAAAAGAACAGTTATGATTCATGACTCAGCCAAAGTCTCTGACCTCCTATTACTGGCCCTTGACCCTTGACCTTTTACCTTGGGCTTTGATGGCAAATTCAATGTTTCCAATTGGTCCACCCAATGCTGACCCTTCTTGCAGCTCTTCTACAGGTATGGTTTACTCAATTGTCTAACCAAGATTTCCTTCTGGGGACTTACTTGGCTTCAGGGTCATACTCTGCCCAGATTCTTTTAAATTCATCCAGATGGTGGGGACCAAGGATGGACCAGTCCCTTGTCAGGTAGTCAAAATTGTCCATGATGACAGCTACAAAGAGGTTGATGATCTGCAGAGAACAGAGAGCAGAGAGTACAATGAGGAACTCTAAGAAGATCTTCCTAAATACTTGCCACTTCGGGCCACTTTGCTAACTGTGTCCATGTATGACAAAGCCAATATTTTCAAATATTTCAATAGACCAACCATATACCACCATTTAAAACATCAGCTTTTGGAACGTGGGTCTCTTGGATATAAACTTGAAATAGATTCTCCCCTCAGAGTTGAGTGGGATGAATCCCGCATGTTGGCTGGACAGTTTACATCATACTAAGCTGCTGGGCAAGGCTGCCAAGGGCAGAGAGAGATTCCACTACCACTTTTCCCTCACTCCTTGGCAAAGAACCAAAGGAATGTAAGATCCCTGCCCACCCCCGCAAGGCCTTTACACACATCTTCTGCCTTCTGGGCAGATATTGCTTACTTCCCATGACAAAGACCAATGAAGAGGTAAGAAAGGTGGCGGCAGGGCTTCCTGAGCTCTGGACAGTGCTTCCTTCCCTTATCTCAGTGTGGCTGGACATTCCTACTGGCTTAGTCTTCCTGAGCCAGTACCTTGGAGGGGGCTGCCCTGACCACAGCTGCAGAGAAAAGGCTGGAGCTGTCTGAACTGTTTGAAGCCCTATTCTCTGTGGCTGCTGAGTCCTACTGCAGCTTACCAGGAAGGCACAGAGCATGTAGAAGCTGATGAAGTAGAACACAGCAAAGCTGCTGCCACAAGGCGTCTCCCCTTCCGTGCTGTTGTTGGGCTCAGACTCTGGGGCACATTTCTTGCCTGGCATGCAGGCCAGCATGATGTCCTGCCAAGCTTCCCCTGTGGCACACCTGAGGGAGAGAGGCGAGAGAACCCAACACCAATGTGGTCAACATCACGTGACTGAAACAACTGCAGTATCTTCTGGATCTCTCTCAAACTCCTTTTTCTTCCCTTCTACCAGGAGCTCTGGTAGCGTAGTGGTTATGACTCGGGCTGTGAACCGCAAGGTCAGCAGTTTGAAACTACCAGCTGCTCCGCGGGAGAAAGATGAGGCTTTCTACTCCCGTAATGATTTACACCCTCGGAAACCCTGTACAGGGTCGCTATGGGTCGGTTCCGACTCCACGGCACATAACAACAACAACAACTGTCAAATGATATTTAGCTTGCTTCAAAAACTATGGAGATTTTTTGCTATTTCAAATAATACTTCAATGAATATGCAGGCCCATGTCTTAGGTATCTGCTTAGAAGTGAAATTGTTCACTGAAGGTTCATGTAGTCTTCATTTTTACTAGCTAGTGCGTACTTCCCAAGCCCTTGACTAATTTACACTCCAATCAGCCTCAACACCTGGTATCATCGTCATTGTTAAGTACCATCGAGTCTGTTCTGACTTACAGTGACTCTATATCAGGTTTCTGAGGAGTGGCTGGTGGATTTGAACTGCCAATCCTATGGTTAGTAGTCCAGTGCTTATCCAACAGGGCTATACCGGGACCCCACACTAGGTATTTGTGACCTTTAAAGATGCTGCTGAATGATGGGTGTGAAGATATTTCATTGTTTTAATTCAGATTTACTTGATTAGTGGGTTGAGAATTTTGATTTCATCTTCTGTTGAATTGTATGTTTGTATTTTTGCCTATTTTGTTCCTGGTTGTTTGTCTTATTCATTTCTAGGATTAAAAAAATAAATTCTTTCTATAAACCTTCTGTCAGTTATACACATTGCAAGTACCAATTCCAGACTGGTTTATATTTTAGCTTGCTTTATTTATGGTACATTTTGATGCATCCAAGTTTCACATTTTTATGTGGTCAAACTTATAATAATTTTTCCTTTTTTTTTTTGTATTTTGTTAAAAAAATTTATTCTAAGTTATGAGAGTCCCAGTGTGGCACTGTAGGATAATCACTGGACTACCAACCGCATGGTCAGTGGTTCAAACTTACCAGCCAGTCTTTGGAAAGGGTCTCTATGAATCACAACTGACTTGACAGCACTTAACAACAGCAATATTCTAAGTTATAAAGATACTTTCTCTCTCTTTGTGAACGTTTTACTGTGCTTTAGGTGAACTCTTGGAGTCCTGGTGTGGTGCTGTGGGTTAATGAGCTGCACTGTAAGGTCAATTTGAACCTCAAGGTCGGTGGTTCAAGTTCACTAGCCACTCCTTGGAAACCTTATACAGGATCACTGTGAGTCGGAACTGACTGGACAGCACTTAACAACAACAGGTGAACGTTTACATAGCAAATTCATTTTCAAATCAATGATTCATACACAAATGGTCCTGTGACAGTGCCTGCAAACCCTGAAATGTGTCTGCATTCTCCACATCTCTTCCCTGTTGTTACTGTTAGGCACTGTCAAGTTGGTTTCGACTCATAGTAATCCTACACACAACAGAACAAAACACTACCCAATTCTGCACCATCCTCACAATTGTTATGATTGAGCCCATTGCGGCTGCCACTGTGTCAATCCATCTTGTTGGGAGACTTCCTCTTTTTTGCCAAGCATGATTTCTTTCTCCAGGGATATTATGGTCTATACTGACAACATGTCTGAAGTATGAGAGATGAAATCTCACCATTCTGGCTTCTAAGAAGCATTCTGACTGTACTTCTTCCAACTCAGATTTGCTTGTTCTTCTTGCAGCACTTTTAATATTCTTTCCAACACCACATTGAACATACATAGATTTTTTCTAAAGTCTTCTTTATTCACTATCCAACTTTCACATGTCTATGAGGTGACTGAAAATACCATGGTTTGGATCAGGCACACTGTAGTACTCAAATTGACATCTCTGCTTTTCAACACTTTTAGAGAGGTCTTGTGCAGCACATTTGCCTAATGCAATATACTGTTTGATTTTTTGACTGCTGCTTCCATGAGTGTTGGTTGTGGATCCAAGCAAAATGAAGTCTTTGACAACTTCAACTTTTCCTCCGTTTAGCATGATATTGTTTATTGTTCTAGTAGTATGTTGCTGTCCCATTAGTAGTGTATAAAGATTTACAACCTCTCCCTACAACCTTGCCAGTATTGTTATTCAAGAGATTCTCTTATATATTCTTCTAAGGTTTTGCCTTTTACAACAGTTCATTTTTCTGGAATTTAGTTTTGTGTTTGATGTGAGATAGAAAGATAATTATATGTTTTTTGGTGTAGACAATCTAATTTCTTAAAATTAGTTATTGAATAGCACGTATGTGCCTACTAATTTGAAATAATTCTTCTGGCATAAATTGTGTTTCAATAGATGTGTGGGTCTTATTCTTGGCTGTTTGTTCCATTCCATTGATTTATTTGTCTATCTTGGTACCAGTGTGCAACATAGTTTTAATTACTATAGCTTTGTAGTAAGTTCTACTCTTTCGTAAAGTGAGTACTTTCAGCTTGCTCTTCAAAATTGTCTTGGTTATTAATTTCTTTTTTCTATTTATAGACACATTGCAATCAGCTTGTCAAGATTCATGACTAATTGTTTTGAGTCTTACTGAAGTTACATTAAAATAGAAATTAACTTGTGGAGTCCTGACATCTTTATGATATTAAGTTTCCCAGTAATGAACATGGTATAGCTCTTCCTTTATTTTAAGTTTTATTTAATGACTGTATTAAAACTTTGTTATTTCTCTGTGTACATCTTTTGTTAGATATACTCTTAGGTATCCTCATTGATTTGGAGTCCTCATGTGGTGCTGTGGGTTAATGCATCAGACTGCAAATTTGTTTGAACAGCAATGTCAGTGGTTCAAGCTCACCAGCTGCTCCTTGGAAACCCTATACAGGGTCGCTATGGGTCGGAATCCACTCAACAGCTGTTAACAAAACACCAACATCTGAATTGATTTAGTTTATTTAAATGCAACTTGCTGAATTCTCTTATTAGTTCTAATAATTTATCTGTAGTTTCTCTTAGCTACATTACATAGGCAATTCTTTTTTTTTCTTTTGCACAGAGACAGTTTTTTTTTTTCTTTCCAATTCTTGTCCATTAATTTATTTTCTTTATCTTATTGTACTGGATGAAACTTTTTATATAATGTTGACTAGAAAAAAGAGTTCTGGTGTGGCACTGAAGGATAAAGCACTGGACCACAAGATTGGTTTGAACCACAAGGTCAGCGGTTCAAACTCACCAGCTGCTTTTTTGGAAACCGTATACATGGCTGTTATGAGTCAGAATCAACTTGATGGCACTCAACAACAATAACAAACAACAGAAAAACTGACAGAGAGGATGTGATCTTGTCATGTGATTGTTGCTCTTTTTTCCTTTTCCTTGTGAATTGAGTGAAGGCTTATCATCAGTTTTTTATTCAACACATCACATACTTTGCTTCATTCCAGTCCCCGCCATGTACCCTCTACACCATTGCTGTACTTTCAGCAATGAGCCTGTCTGAATACTTCAGCACAGGCACCTTCTTCAGCTTGCACAAGAGTGGCTGCGTGGACACTGGCTCATCCATTTCCTTGTGGCCTTGCATTCAGTAGTAGGCCAGTCTATAGCATTGATCTCAATTTATAGTTACCAGTATTTACCTCTATTTCCTTTAATTCTTGTACTCCTTCCTGTGTCTCCTGCTACCTTCATCTTTCCTCGGCCAAGCTCCCTATTGTTGTATATTGCCTGCCCCATCACCCATGTTAGCCTGTGTCTACCCTCTGGTCCTTGAATTATTTTCTTCCCCATCTTCCCAGTAACCTCAGAGAATGTTTCCTTTAGCAGGAAAATCTATTTTTAACTTTTTACAACAGTGGCCTCATACAATATTTATCCTTCTTTTGTGATTGACTAATTTCACTTAGCTGAGTCCTGGTGTGGCGCTGTGGGTTAATGCGCCAGACTGCAAAGCTGTTTGAACTGCAAGGTCGGTGGTTCAAGCTCACTAACAGCTCCTTTGGAAACCCTATACAGGGTTGCTATGGGTCAGAACTGACTCCTCGGCACTTGACAACAACAAAATATCCTCCAGGCTCATCCATGTTGTAAGATGCTTTTCAGAGTCATTGTTATTCCTTAACATTGTATAATGTTCCATTGTGTGTATGTACCAAAGTTTGCTTAAGCATTCTTCTGTTGATGAGCATTTAGGTGGTCTCCATCTGTTTGCTATTGTGAATAGTGCTACAAGAACATGGGTGTGCACATATCTACTTATTTCACAGCTCCTCTTTCTTGAGACTATAAACCAAGGAGGGGGATTGCTGGGTTAGATGGTATGTCTATGGGGAAAGTCAAAAATTATCCACACTCTGGTTATATTAAAACTTCTGTTGGCTGTACTGTCTGATCCATTCAAGGTCAGTGCTGTGCAGGTGTGAATGTGGACATCTGCAAACAAAATTTGGACCCATACTTGAAGGAAGGTAAGTTTCTTTAAAAAATTAGTTACTAATGACTAGACATAGCTACATCACTACAAGCTGAGGGTAAACAGCAGAGTATGGTATGGAAACATCCTCAATTACCAACAAAGGAAAAGTTCAAAAGTCAGCCATCTGCTGGAAAATTGATGCTTACAGTTTTCTGGGATTCTCAAGGGGCGGTAGTTGAACACTGTCAGGAAAAAGATTCAACAATCAACAGGCTCTTTACAATGAGATGCTCTCTGCAGAACTGAAGCCTAAACTCTGTATTGAATGCAGAAGGCTGCTATCCAAGGATATTGTGATTTTGCATAACAATACATGTCCATGTGCCTCTGCCCACACTGTTGACACTCTGCAAAAGCTTCCTTTCTACGCATTAAAGCATCCTCCCTATAGTCTTGATCTTGCCCTGTTGGACTTTCACCTCTTTAGTTCCCTGAAAGCAGCCCTTTGAGG